CGTATGCAAATGATTCCTTGCCCGTCCCGATTACTATAAATTACACTACGCTTGCCCGTCCATTAATATAAATTACACTACGCTTGCCCGTTGCCCGGATTTCGAAGTCAAATAAATTTTTGGGTGAGCGAAAAAATTTTTTCGTCATAGACCAACTTAAGCCCGTTCTCCACTACGCGAATTTGTTCGGGCGACGCCAAGCGAAAACCGAAATCCGGCAACGTGATTGGTCGGCGAAAAAATTCGCGGCGAAAAAGTAGGATCGCTTCCTACTTTTTATCTGTTCGCGCGAATAAATTCGCCTAGTGGAGAACGGGCTTAAGAAAGGGTCAAAACGCATATTAACGGAGATAGGTTTGGCTCAGGGGAATTTTAAAGCACATTTTCACATGGCTATCATAGCACTGAGGCGTATGCAAATCAATCCTTGCCCGTCCCGATTACTATAAATTACACTACGCTTGCCCGGATTTCGCAGTCATATAAAACTAGGGTAGGCACTTAGAAAATTTTTGGCTGATCGAAAAAATTTTTTCGTCATAGATCGACTTAGAAAGGTTCAAAACGCATACTAACGGAGATAGGTTTGGCTCAGGGGAATTTTAAAGCACATTTTCACATGGCTATCATAGCACTGAGGCGTATGCAAATCAGTCCTTGCCCGTCCCGATTACTATAAATTACACTACGCTTGCCCGGATTTCTGAGTCAAATAAAGCTAGGCTTGTGGCTTAGAAAATTTTTGGCTGATCGAAAAAATTTTTTCGTGATAGACTGATTCAAACAGAAATCGCCCAAAAAAATGGAGATATATTTTACATTTAATTGACATATCATACATTCAGTAGTCTTTTGAGACATGGTCTGGAAACTCAGTAAACTTCAAAGCGGTTTATATAATGAGCTGGGAGTTTATGTTGAACTGTACTTACACATATCCTTTGTTTTAGGTTTATTAATATTTAAATAGCATGGTTGAATGACTGAACTGTTGCTATTGGATGGTTCGTTCATTATACTGAAATACAATGTGTTAAGCCTGTTTTCCACTGGGCGGAATTTTGCGCGCGGAGCGGAATTTTTCTTTGTGTTGTGATTTCTCGGGTGGAACTAATTAGAAAAGACAAAGAAAAATTCCGCTCCGCGCGCAAAATTCCGTCTAGTGGAAAACAGGCTTTAATTGACTGTGCACCGTGCACAAAACTGCATAAACGCGAATAGAACAAAGACTTTACCGGAGTTTCCAAACCATGTTTTGAAAGACTATGTATCATATAATACAACATTGAATCTAACAAGTCAAGTTTATTATATTAAACATATTGACATTAACGTCTGTAGTCTTGCACATCTACTGTATACTGTACATGCAATAAATATATACCACTTAATTAAACGGGTAATAATGTTATATTAAATTATATTGATACATTGGGTCATTCCAGAAAACATCCATACATCCTCTGCAAAGGAAATTGGAAGTTTCCCCCTTTGGAAGTTCTAATACACATATACTATTATCAGAAATAGAATCTAATTTGTCTCTCTTCTCCTTTCAGACAGCAGCAATTTCCTTGTTGGGGGCAGGGTGGATCTTTTCTGCAACAACCACTTACTGTTATATTATTACTGTGCAAAATAATATTAAATCAAATCTTTGATAATATGTGATAATACTGTATATGTAGTGACTTATACATG